GTTCTCTTCCTGCTCTTTCTCTACTACCAAGAACATGAAGGACGTGTGTGAGATGGTAGATCATCAAGACCAAAGAAACCTAAAGCAATGAGTAAGAATCATAAATGGAGGCCAGGGCAAGTTATCTGAACTGACTAGAGAGCTTTATTAGGACACTGAAACAGCCTGGCTGGGTGTGGTGGTGCATGCCAGTAAGCTTAGCATTCAGTAGGCTGAGGCAGGAGGATTGCGACGTTTGAGGCTAGCCTGGGCTACATAGTGTGTTCAAGACCAGCCTGAACTACACAGAGAAACCTTGTCTTGAAAAAAAAAAAAAGAAAGAAAGAAAAAAAACTTGTTCTAAAACACTTTCTCATCACTTTAATTAAAAAAAAAATCTGGATCTTTAGACAAAGAGTTTATTTGGTTTGTGTTCACTCAATAGGCCAATATTTACTGACCACCTACTACAGGTTAGGAATTGCCTTTAGTTCTGAGCATATAGTAACAAAGGAAGTCTGCAGCCTCAGGGAACTTACATTTTAGTAAGGGAGACAGACAATAATTTCAGGTGGTGATAAATGTAACAGAGAAAAAAAAAAAATCTCACCAATTCTGTGCTTGTCTCACCTCTCTTGTCCTTCCCTCTTTATTCAGCAAGCTCTATCGTCCATCACTGTATTCACCGTCTTGTGCACATCCTCAACCCACTACCCTTTTCTCCTTTCTTCTTGCTTGCACAGCAAAATTCCAACAGGTTCACTTCTTCCCACTTCCCTTTCTTCCATCTCTGAATACAACAATGCTGACTGTTGTCACCTCAACTTCCTGGCTTCGATGAGGTCCTTGCAGGACCTTGGCAATCCTACCTTGTCTAACCCATTCACCTCTCACTCTTCTACAAGACTGGTCTCTATTTCCTTCATCCTAACGCTGCCAGCAGTCTTTTCCCACACTCATTCACTATCAGTAGTTTTGTCCCCGATTCCACTCAGAAACTTACAGTAAGAATTTCTTAAACCTTCACTACGTCTGTACCCGAGTCTGTGCATGTATCTTCTGTCTTCCCTCCTGTCACTGTTGTTTCAAATGTGTCTCCAAATTTCATGAGTTGTAAACTCAACCCCCTAATGAATTCATATGTTGATGGCACTGGGAGCTGGGGTCTTTGGGAGGCAATTACATGAAGTTATGAGGGTAGGACCCCAATGCTGGCATTACAGTAGTGGCTTTATGAAGAAACCTCATCTAACACACTGCTGTGTCACTCCATGGGATGCTTCTGCCACGTTATGACAGTGTAAGGCCTTCCCTAGATACTGCCACCCTGTGTCTGGATTTCTCAGCCTCTACAGCTAAATATTCTATTCTTTATCAATTACTTGGTCTGAGGTATCTTGCTCTAAAAGCAGAAAACAAACTTTAACTACAAGCTGTCCATTGTCCTCCTGAAGGCCAACTTCCACTTGTGCACTGGATATTGTCTCCTCTCATCTCCTATGGCAGATAAGACATGTGCCACCCAGGTCCCTTCTCAAGGAAGGATCTGCTACCCAGCTGCTGCCCTGTGACACCATCTGTTAGCTCCTGCAGCATCTGCCAGGGCTGTCGTCACTTCACCTGCAGTGAAGTGGCCTGGGGTCAGCCCACAGGCAAAGGCTGAGAAACGCCAGGGTCAGACATTAGGACCCTCTGAAGAATAATATTCACTCCAGAGCTCCCCACAGGGTTGCTGAAGTTTGATCCCTTCCTCTGCCTGATTTTGCTTCCCTCCACTCCTTTTACAGATCTTGACTCATTAATAAACATTTGGCGCCCCAAAATGTTTTAGTATCTGCTTACAATCAACCGGACTTACCTACTACAGATTGGCTTCAGTTCTGTCTCCTCCCTCTCTTCCATCATCCATTTCTTCCTCCCTGATTCTCATCATCATATAAACATATGATAACATCTCCTTGAAAATAAACTCTGAGTTACTGCTCCATCTCTTTGCTCCCTTGTACAGCAAAATTTCTGGAAAGAGTATCTGAATCTATCTCTTGCCTACCTGCCTCTGTATTCCCACTCTCGACACTTTCATATTCACCCCCCTCACCACACACACACCTAGAGAAATAGCTCTTACCAGTACTGCCGGTAACACAACATTGTTTGATCTGTGGTCCGTTCTCACATCTCACCTGATCTGTTAGCAGCGTCTGACTCAAATGATCACTCCTTGGAACACTCCTTTGTCACTTGGCTTTTGGGACACAGCTTTCATCTAATTCTTCCCCTACTTCACTGGCCACAGTTGCTCCTTCTCATCTCTTTTGCTGGCTATTCTTCCTCTCTGAACCTATAAACACTGGAGCAATCAGAGGCACAATCTTGAGCTGTCCTCCTCACTACCTTTATTCACTGTTAGTGATCTCATCGAATGCCGGGGCTTTAAATACCATCTACATGCTAACAACTACTAAATTTATATCTTGAGCTACAGCTTCTTTCCCTGAATGCTAGACTGTCATATTCAACTTCCTATTCTGATTTTCCATTCTGATACATACAAGAATATCAAACCTATCTAAAACAAAACTGATTCCAATCTCTCATACCCTTCCCAGAAAGAAGAAAATACCCTGCCCATCCCTAACCTTCCTCATCTAAATAGCTACTCTGTTCTTAACAGTTGTAGAATCAAAACCCCAAAGTCATCACTGACTTCGTGCTCTCATCACCCACATCGTCTGCTACTTTAGGGAATTCCTTAGATTATATCTAGTCTCTTTCCACCGCTTTTAGTTTGTCAAATTCTCTTTTCAAATGTCATAATCTTAAGGATCTTAACCATCAAATATACAAAGCAGAATCCCATCCACCCTACTGGTACTTCCTATCTCCTTTAACCTGCTCTACAAGTATTTGCCACACAATGTATTTACTTGTTTGTTCATTGTGTCATCTAGATGTAAGCTTCAAGATGGCAGGCACGTGGTCCTACTCTAGCTTCTAGCAACATTCATGTTTGAATGAATGAACTGAAAAAGAATGGTGTACAAACAGCAATAGTCTTGGGGGAGAAGCATTTGAACAGGGAGCTAAATGATAAAAGGGGCAAGTTATTTGGAGATTCAGAATGAAAAGCCGTACTGACAGAAAAAAAAGATTAGTGTAAAGCCCAAAAGTGTGAATGAACTTGGCCCGATGGAGTACAGGAAGGGTTTGTGCGGCTCAAACAGCTAACTTTGTCAGAGAGATATCAGAGAGGCTGTCAGCAGCTGGATTATATAGCAATTCACACATCCCGATAAGGATTTTGGATTTTATTCCAAGTATGATGGGAGCCAGTGGAGGTTTTAAGCAAGACAGTACCCAAGTGGGTAGTTTTCCTTTAAAACATCACCTTGGCGTTTGTGTGACTAGCGGGGGTGGGGTGGGAGCAGTACTGTGGAAGGAGACCGGTGACAGGGTATACCGTAATCCAAGCAAAAAGCAAAGAAAGAGTGCGTAAGATTTCAGTGCGATCAGTACAGCAGGAAACTATAAAATTTGAGATGATGTATGACAGGAGTTATTTGTCTGAAGCGCAAAAGAAAAAGAAGATCCAAAGAAAACATCTGATTTTTGCCCTGCAACCTGGAATCCATTCGGACAAATGCAACGGGTCCTATTTTCTTCCAGTGGTTGAGGACCTGGGAGAAAATAAGGTAGTATTTAAGAAAGAGGAAACTGCGTTGAGTTTTGGAAATGTGAACTTTAAATCCCAGAACTGACAAAGACAGCGACAGAGTCAGAGACAGACAGACAGAGGAAAGGGGGGGGGGGTCAGAGACAGACAGACAGATTTCTCCTGCATTTACAGCACGCAGATCTTGCGTGGCTCCCGCTGCGACGCGAACCTTGCCCACGCGGGTCTTCCTCCTCCCGGAGCACCTCGCGAGTCCTCGGAGCTGCGCAGACCCGGAGTCTCCCGCACACGCTCTCCGGGGCAAACGGGAGACCGCTCATTTATTAAACACCCCGCCTCCGGGAACAGCGGCCGACTGCGACTTCAGGGGGTTTCTCAACTTCGTCGCCGCGCCCTCTTGGCCCCGGACAGCGCGGCGTCCTTTCCGGGAACGACCCGGGGAGACAATAAACACGCAGGCCTCCTAGGGTCCTGCCGCTCGGCGCTCCCCGCCCCGCCGCCCTTCCGCGCGCGTCTCCCTCCCGGGCGA